TCTATCTATCTATCTATCTATCTATCTATCTATCTATCTATCTATCTTCTTCCTTCCTTCCTCTCTTTCCTTCCTTCCTTCCTTTCTTTTCTTTCTTTCTTTCTTTTCCCCCAGCCCCCAGCCGCCTTAAAAAAGGGATGCGGGACAATGCCTAAACGCGTCCGGGTTGCGGTCTCGCAAAAGCCCCATTTTCCCGGCGCTCGTTCTTTGAGGCAATTCGGCGGCGGGGGCAGGGACGGCGATGTCAGACTCCCGAGGTGACATAAAGCAGCGCAGAGCCGCCTCTCCCCGTTCCTGCTGTCAGCGAGGCGGTGGCTGATTTGGCCATGAGAGGCGCTTGGGAGAGCTCGCCACGCCTCAGAGACTCCCAGCCAGCGACTCGGGGGCGGGCGAGCCGGTGGGGCCTCCCGGCGCTGCGCCTAGGCTGGGAAAGAGCCGGGCGTGGCGCGGAGAGAAATTACTCTCGGAAACTAACGGGCCGGGTGGGAGCCGGGGACCTCCCCTTCCGAGCCTGGCCTCCGATCTGGGCGGGCTCTTTAGGGCAACCCCCCCCGAAGAAGGCGGGGAGGGGAGACAAATCGAGGATGGAGGTTCCAGCCGGCCTTTGTGCCAAAGGAAGTTGTATTATTCCAGCCGAGTTACACGGATAATTTAGGGGAAAGAGACTGGCCGCTCTTCCCAATTTGTTGTTGCCTGCAAGCAGGGGGTACCTAAGAAAGCCTCTCAGCCCTGTAGAAGTAGATGGTTATGGAGAAAACAGATGGAAGCAGTCACTTGATGACAGATTGATGACAGATTTTGGAAGACTCCCGGTACAAAAAAGTATATCCCACCCCACATGTGTGCAGACAAGCCCAGAAAAGGAAAATCTCCTTCCCATTTCTTTTTTTAAAAAGAAGGAAGACTGCATCAGTATTTAAAAATCAGATCCATCTTTGCACTCAGAGTGGGTCCAAAATGGTTCATTATGGTTCAAATACTTCATTATGTTCAGGCATGTACGATTTTTAATAACAGATTACCAAATAAAGTAATCTGGGGTAATCTTATTTAAAATCATATAACATGTAGAGGATCCACTTTTATTTGTAGGATCCTACAATTGTTGCATAGTGTAGAATAGTATTACAGAAATGTATGGGGCAGTTGATCAATAGGCATAATGTTCCCTCAAGCTCTCCATGCAAGAAAACAAGATCACCTCTGTCTTTGTGCCACAAAAAGGATCATTTTGCTCCGCTCCAATATTGCCCAGATCCCCTGCTGCCAGGACCATCTCTTGTACTCAGGAGACACATGCACACATTTGCAGGATGACATTTAATAATGTTCTTTCTTGAATGTGTGACATACTCGGTTCCTTTTCCATAAACAAGAATTGAATATATTGTTATTTATGGACAACAAAAGGGATCTCCAGAAAGGACTCAAAAGTGGGTATTCTCTGTAGGAATACGATCCAGTGGAACAACTAATCCCAGATGTGAGAATGCCCCCTTTTGGTCTAATTTAATTTTTTATTATGTTTTATATTAAATACATTGCACACTGCTTTTAGAGTTCATTGAGATTGAAAATGTGTATGTTTGCTAAATTTAAAAAATGGAATCTAAGAAAAGTTCTCAACTATTTCAATTATGGGACCTGTAATGCTTCCACATGTGTTCTTATCATACTAAATGGGTGGATTTTCATTTAGGATAGGTAGCCCACAAACCCCTAACTGGACTATCAAGGATGCTGTTATAGAGGCCCCTTGCTTTAGCCTTCAGAAACAGGTCAATGTGGGAAGAATAAACCCTCCAAGTTTTGGAAGTCCTTAAAAGATGCACAGATTTGCCCCAAAAACTATCCCCAATTTGTTTTAATTTAGTTTAGCTTTTCATAGGGAAAATAAGTTAACTGGAAGACCAAAAATATCACTTTCTCAGAAGTCAAAATATGGACTTTCCAACCTTTTCATTAACACTTTCTATTTATTACAATCTTCAAATAGGAATGCTGTGGGATGGAGCCTGTTTTCTCCCTGATCCTGTAGTGCTTAATCATCAGTACTTTCTCTCAATATCCACCCCCCCTATCTTTCTGGTCAGTTATGTTCCTAGTAGACCATTTGAAGGATTTGTGAATTAAAACCTAACAGTCTTTTTCTATCAAATATGTTTAGAGAAAGATTTGTTTAGATTTCCTAAATTAGATTAGGTATTCCCTTCTCTTTGCTATCTGTTTTCATTTCATGATAGGTTATAGGGAGTCTGAATAAGAAACAATCTAAGCAGACCATTAAGCTTTAAAATATTAGCTAGATAGATCAGCAGGCTGTAAGGTTGAGAACATTATTTTTTTACTACTGATTTTCTTTAGTCATATATTTGTTTCACCTACACATCATTAGCTATGAGTTAGAGCTACCAGGCTTTTACTCTTACCAATATATACTCTAAATCTTCAGGAAATATACATTTTCTTCAGCACTCTTGTTGCACTCTATATATCACTTTCTTTTCCTGCTTTAACCACCTTCCCAGATGAATGTGCCTTATGTTCTAAAGAAACTATTACTATCTGTAATATGTAGCTGAGTATTTTAATTATTTTAGATTGAGCAAAGTTGATTTTCTTTTGCAAGCATATTCTATCCTCCGTGATATAAGCTATGTTTGAGCCAGTTCCCTATATATGAAGAGAAATTATGTGGGAGAGCTGCATATGAATTTAATCTCAAGATAGGAAGTTATGTGAAATGGGTTTCTAAGACAGAGTTCTGTATGACTACATGAATTCTCAAAGCTGCAAGGAATAGCCCTCAGGATATTACATTGCTACAGAAACCAAAGCCATTTTGCTGACAAAAGGGAAAAGCCAAAAAACTTGCCCTCTTGTGCTTTTTCAAAAGTATAACCTTCAAGCCCTACAAATTTACCCACATCTTTATGTGTGAAGATTTTTTTTACTAAAAACCTAGACACAAATCTGTGTGAATGGAAATCTGTCCCACAAACTGGGTGGAATTTAAATTGATCTGCATATCTCTAGCCACAGCAGGAAGGTGTTAACCAAAGGATTAAGAAAAAAATAGATTTTTTAAACCATATTAGATATTTCAGAAAATGTATCCCACAGGGCATCACAATGAAAAAAATAGCAATAATATTGTTTATCAATAAGGCTGTATGTGCCTGGTAATGTCACCTTTCAAATGGATGAGTCATGAAGTAGAGCATCTAATAATAGCCTTATTTCATGGTACAGCTATAGGTCAAGAAAAGTCTTCTTTCTGTAAGTCAGATGCCTTAACCGATTTCTAGAAGCAGCTGCATGCAGTTGTAAGTGGACTGTCCGTAAAACACGATAACAGCAATGGAAATATTCTATGACGGATGATTCATACAAATAGATATAGAGGAATGATGGAAATGGGGCAGAGAATTTGCATGTATTTCTTTTGGAAAGAGGCTGAAAATAGTTACATGATAGATTACATTTTAGGGATTTTATTTTTGTGCAAGGCTGAAATGTAAACCTTTTTTCATATTTTACATGCTGTTTATGTGACAAAGCTGTTCTTTTAACTAAACTACTTCAGTTTATTCACTGGAGATTATGCTGAACCCAAAGAAAAGCAAAACAGAGCTAAAAGATTCAGGTTTGAACTATTTATTATTCTGGTAAGTTCAAATAAATTATTGTTTAAAAACTTTAATACATTAAAGAGTAGTAGAGCATCAGAAGGTGGACACTGCCCTGTAAATAGCTTTGTCACCTTCCCCTGGCTAGCATTTTGAATGTTGAGATATGAGGGGGAAGGGATGAGGATGTAAGGGGGAGATCAAGAAGGGGGAGGGGAGGAGGAGAAGGAGAAACAACCCTACTATTTAGGATCCAAGAGTAGGATAAGCAACTTACATCCTGTATCATGGCTATGATATAAGGAAAGCTATTTTTTGAAACAGGAAGTTGGTATGAATTCCCCTACATAGCTTGTAAAGTGACATGTTGCGTTCTATCCAAATAGAAATACAAAACATGAATGTTTCGTGTTTATACTTTACTGGGAGTACCTAAAACAAACTCCCAACAGGCTCTTCATCTGTTTTTTTCATATGTAACACCTGGCCTTCTCATTTCATTGTGGTTTCCAGATCTATTGACTCCTCCATAATTGCACAAACTGGGCTATTTGGAGATGATAAAACTTGTAGTACAATACATTTCTAAAATACCTAATTTAATTCCAGTTGCATTAGTACAAAAATAATTCAGCTTGTTATGGTATGTCATCTTAGCCTGGAATATACAAATTATGTAGCAAGTATTTATTGCTCTGCTATTTCACAGAAAACAAGGAAAAGTCAAACTTTGTAGAATTTCGTTTTTTTACAAACAGTAGCTCCACCAAGTGGTAAATATTATTATTTTATGCCAAATGTATTACAGGACAGAGAATTTGCCAATATTTTGACATATTGGAGACTCATAGCCATTTTCCATATAAAATGGCCATGATTTTGTCCAATTCAAAAGAATTAAAATAATGTTATTAAAGAGAAAGTCAAATATAATGTGACATTAATAAAATCAGTGAATGCAGAACTAAGAAAGGAAGATGAGAGAAATACATCTCAGAGTACCTGGTTCCTTTTTATCTCCTTGGTTTTTCAAAAACTATTTGATATGTTTTTAAAACTCCTGGAGAGCTCATGATGGAGAGATGGCTTTTCAAAAATAAAATAATATCTTCATTTTAATTAAATCTTGAATTTGCAAAATCATCATCTTCTTTTAATGACGCCATAATCTCTTGCAGGGTGGAGTCT